AAAAGATAGCTCGTGAATCTTTCGTCCACTTGCCTTTCTTGACAATATCTGCGCGCGTGTCTCGCCTTGCTAAACGAGCGTTCTGCTTGAACGCTCGTCGCTTGGAGGCTTCGTAAGGTTTGCACCAGGAGGACTGGGAGGGCAGGGATTCCTCTCTTATGGTACTCGATGACTTCCTCCGCATTTGGTGGTCGCCGTCCTCGGCTCTGTTCCTCTCGGTCACTATCGGCAAACGTTTCATAGACGTCTAGGGGTCTTTCTTTCTCTCCCCTCGCAACCCCTTCATTATGAGACCTAAAAGTACGAGCTGAGCTTAGAGGGATAATGACGATGCTCGAGTCTTACGAATGGCCATTCCGAAGACGTTTCACGTCCTCTACACGGTAGTGGCTCTGCTGCTACCTCTGAATTTTTCGCTTATAAACACTAGCCCATCATATAGAGGGGGATACAGACTCTAGCCGATTATATCGAGAGGGGATAATCGGAGGAGGCAATGCTCACTCGGCCATCGGAATCATCGCTCTCGTTTCAAGTATTCGACTCGAACCCATCGCTTGAAGCAGAGTCGAGCATTTCCGTTCGTTCGGGACTGACAGCTCTGTCGAAATCATTGACAACACATTCCATCGAAACGGCTCCGAAAGCGTCCCTTATGAGAGTGGCGATGCCGGCATTACTCGAGCGCTTTCGCTGACCTCTCTTCGCATTGGGAGTGTTCCCCTCGTTGGGCATCCAGTCCTCCTAGAGTTTCCTCGGGTTGTTTCGACTTTGTCCCCGCTCAAATCCAAGGGCTGGTAGGATTTCGTCAATCCGCTTGGCATGAATCCGACTTTGGACTTCGGCTTTTCAGCTCATCTTTCACTCTGACTCGATCTGTCGGGGGGCATCGAGCCGAGTCCATGGAAAGCATGGAGTTTTGGGGATCGCTTTCGTAGAACACGCTTGCTTTTCAGACCTCGTTGACCCGTTCCACCATGCGAGAGTCGTTCACTCAGCTTCTTTCGTTCATTTTTCCGCGACTCCGAGAGGGAAATCTTCCTTGGGTGTGAGTTTTTTTTTGGAGATTTGCATTGCTTGGAGCTTTTCTCCCACAGTGGTGACGCAAAGCATCACCGTCAGATTGCTTTTCTCGTGACGGCTAGCGTCGATTCTCATACATAATCCGTCTCCCCTTCAGGCTCACGGTCTTACCGTAAGTGACGTCGAATGGCACAGGAACTCCGTCCATATTGCCAGCACTGGAAGGTGGGACGTCCGACGTGGCTTCCAGGGCCTTATCGCGGAAAGCTGCAATCTTCTTTGCGGCATCCGTCGGTTGACCCTCACCGGTTGGTCTCTGAACACTCAGGTTGTTCCTCGCCATGAGTTTGCTCACCCATTCGTTGTAGGCCATTCTCGATTCTTTTGTTCGCTCTCCTTCTTTCGCTCCATCAGAAGTTCTTCCCTGAATATCGCGCCCCCGGATCGCTCGGTTTTGTGATTCCCGTTCGAGGATCCACTGTTTGGACTCAGGTTCCAGAGTGACGAGCCGAGCTTTGCCTTTACTGACTGAGGGCTCGGCGTCTTCTGTCGATCGTTGACAGCTGCTCCTCAGTTGTCCTCCAGTTGGTGTCTGCGTGAAACTAAACACATCCCAGATGTCCCGTACCGGCGCCCCAGTGGATGCGAGTTTTCCCCCACTATGAGGGGGCTGAGGCGTGCGAGGTCCCTCTCACGAAGAGTCTTCCATACGGAGAGTCCCTCATACGAAGAGTTCCGTATATTCGAGGCTCCTTATACAAGAAGTCCCTTATTCGATGAGTCCCTTGTACGAAGAGTTCTCTGTGTCCGAGAGTCCTTTATACGATAAACTCCTTGTTCAATGAGTCAATGAGTCCCCAATACGAGGCGGCCCCTATCGGCAGGACCTCACCCGATTTCCGAATATTGAATCTGAATCGATAGGCAGGCCAGCTGATCTAGGCCGAGAGACTGAGAGAATGAAAGCGTTAGTTGGAATCTCTCGGTGTACCGCGAACTCGGAGATCCATGAACGAAAAAGAAGGGAACATCTCACGGAGGATGAGATGTATCTTGAAGGCGGACCGATTCCCAATCGCTTCTGATGTTTAAGGTTTAGATTGTCGAATTCCCGGCCACCAGCCTCTTTTCCACGGATATCGATGGATTGGAGCAGACACTCTCCGAAAGATAGTCTTCTCGAAGACCTGAAGCGGCTGAAGATGGAGCCTCCGGCTTCCAGACCACGGAGAATGATTAGATTTCATTCATCAGGGGTCATTTAACGCGAGCGGCACCCTGTGGCTGCATACCCTGTCGACTTCAGAATCGGGGATCAGTCTCTGATCTATAAGTTGGAACGAGATTTCTCTGAGCAATCTTCGCAATGGCTCATCCTCAATGGCCTCATATCCTTTCTGCGAGAGGCCCCCCCCCCGATCATACTAGGAGACGAAAATCAACATAGATTGCCACATCAACTTCAATTATTACTGATTTCCTCTCGTTTCGCTGTTCGGACTCTAGCGCTAGCGAACCTAGAGCTATGAGCCGGCGAGAGTCACTGTCATGTCTGAATTTTATTTCGTGATTGAGAGGTATTCCAGATCCGCCCGTTCAGAAGTCCGCGAAAGGGTCGTTTCCTGGGTCTGGGCCCGGAGAATGCGGAGGATCATTCTTGAATTCAGGAAGGCCCTGCTGCGTCCCCTCGATTGGCGGCGGCAGTTCAATCTCAGGGAAGTCCTGTTCGACAATTAGGTTATTGAAATCGATGTCTGAGAACCAAACGTGTTTCTTTACACCGTCGCAACCACCCAACCCGAAGCCTAGTCTCTGATTGGGATCCTTGAACAACAGCTGCGCCACCATTGCTTTCGCAGCGTTAGAGTGCGGAGGATTTTGAAGCTCCAGGGGATCTGTGTGGCAGATCAAATCTATTTTCTGTAGTCTTGACAAATCGTCGTCGACATCGTAGAAGGGGGTCGCCCCATTTTCGGTCAGTAGTTCATACATCATGATCCCGAGAGCCCACCAATCTACTGCACAAGTGTATGGCTTGTCTCCATGCATCTCTGGTGCCATGAACCTGAGGGTACCGAAGGTACCTATGACAGCCGAAGATGCTCTCACCGTGACTCCGAAGTCGCACAGCTTCAGGAGTCCCTTTTCGAACACCAAAATATTGGATGGTTTCAAGTCTCGATAAATCATGTTGCAGCGGTGTATGTATTCGAGACCCAATACAACTTGGCCGAGTAGGAGTTTCAATTTCGCTTCCGGGTGAGGGATGGGTCCGATATTGTACAGATCCCCGTAGGTTGCGAAATCCATGACCATGAACGTCTGGAGTTTCGTTTTCCAGGTAGAGAAGAGCTCAACGAGGAAGATATTTTTGAAAGCGAACTGAGTTCTCTTCTCCAGTATGAGTCGGACGCAGCGGTCTCCCTTAAGTTGTCTTTTTATAGCGTAAACATTTCCGTCTTTGCGAGCTTTGTACACGGTGCCGAAAGCACCCCCGCCGATCCATTCCTCCAAAGCAAAATCCGCGATATCTTCTTTCGGACAAGAATTAGCGTCGTATCGCATGTTGAAATTGGCTTCCGCATTATCTAGATCGTTCTGGTAGGCTACAATTATATCGGCTCTTTTCCCCCGTGTGAAGATCGGCATCGTTATCCTATCTTATGGATAATGGATAGTTCATGGATTCGACGAAGGAGATTCCCGCTCAGGGTCTCGATTAGGCAAGGCATATCCTACGGGGATCGTTCCTCAGCGAGATGCGCTCTATTGCGAGTGAGATTGTGCCGAAGTCGGGATCGTCGTCCGCGATTCAGAAGGGGACCCTCTCTTCGGCGGATTCGCGAGTTTTTAGAAGATTACCTCGCGAAGTAAAAAATCGAGATGTCTCCATGTCACATTGATGTACTTAGTGATCATTCGAGAGCAGGCTCAACATCGTTCGGGAACACGGAGACGAAAGTTCCACCCATACAACACGGAATGAAGGGGGACCTCCCCCATCATCCAGCAGGATGAGATTCGTTTTGTAAAATGTTCCAAATCTGTCTGAATGGAATCCCAGAGGTCACGGTGATCCTTGATGAGTTCCTTGTGGAATCGGTATCTAAAGTCTCGATGGGGGTTCCCATATTAAGGTCGGGAGCCGCTTCATTCCGCCTCCCGGAGTCTGATTGCGAGGGGCTCCAAGAGCTCCATCGGTCATCGTCTGAGCACCTGTCTCTGACTTCTTCGGGAACTTGAGGGGGGACAGGAGTCACGATCCCCGGCTCTCTCAGGCTGACCATAGGAAGTGAGCGACCGCCAGATTTGACAGGGTCATCGCCTGGGCTGGGTCAGCCCGGAAACGGGCGCAACAAGCAGAACGAAGCTTGTTCTGGATATTCGAACGCGCTATAACGGCACATTACGCCTGCTGCGGAAGTATTTCAACTTAAAAGACCTTCCTGGGAAGTGCTGGGCTGCTGCAAGTTTCAAAGATGGTTGGAGCTTTTTCGCATGTGGAGCAATGCTGCCAGCGACTCTCGCTGGAAGATCTCAACCTATACCACGCTGATTGCGCTTCACGAGTATGTTTCTCGCAATCGAGTGATGTCCCCAGTTCTGCTAGTAGCACGATGTCACCAAAGGCTCAAGCATACGATATGACCAAGAGGGGCGATGATGAAAAGGAACAGTCGAGCTCCATCATCAGGAGTCAGGAGCTCGCGCACCCTTTCATCCTTCGCCTTCCAATGGATATCTCGAACACTCCCAAAGCCTCCCTGATCGCCTGGAGAATCGTAGCATGGCGTCGTTCAGCCGTCCAGCTCAAGGTCCTCCTCTGATGAGCTCAAGCAAGCAGTGCTCTAAGAACTCGCACTCGATGATAAAACCCCCGAGAGATGTTTGCTTTCCCTCCAATGTCGCAGACGGGGCTTGATGCGAACTTTGCAGCACAACTTGATCGGTCTCGATAGAAGCATGATTTTGTATGGCGGGACTCCGAGACGTAGATCGCGAGCCGTATCTATAAAGTATACATCCCCCTTTTGCTATTGAATCTGCCTGCTCCGCTATCCCGGGTCCTGAGCGACATCCCGACTGGCTTTCCGCCGCGCGAGCGCAGGATACTGCGTGCCACTATTCACAAGAAGACGAAATCCTGGATAGCGACAAGAGATGGCGGTGAAGCAGCGCTTCTCAATCTGATCCCCATGGAAAGCTTGACTTCCGCGGCGCGCGCCAAGGGTTTCATGATTCAATGCTGGACTCTTCACCGGCCGCGAGAGATAAACTCGAAGCGACGAGCGCACATAAGGTGCATTATATGAATATGACTGAATTCTCCGCCTCTATCGTCGTTGCACCGATCCGATAATTTTTACTACAACACACCATGCCGTGCAACCCACCGGACGCACTCAAGCATGAGCAAAAGTGTGCTCAGGATGGAAGTTCCCGCGAATACCTTGAATAAATATCTAGAGACGTACTACGGTCAATTACCGTGAGTCCTGAAATGCCGAGTAATCCGTATCGCCGAACTACGGCCGACTTCCGTGAATGTCTGTAGCCCGGGGCTGGGGTCAACGAGAAATCTGACCATCCGACCTCCGCGCGAGCCGAGTGGAAACATTCACTCAACAGAATGCAGAATGTATTCGCGGAACGATTTCCTGGAGCGGGCAACAAGCTGATCGTCCTCACATGTGAGATGAATTTTCGCTCACGTGATCTTTGCTATAGAGATAGGTGATCAGCTCAGAAGCTGCCTAGAATTCTCGGAGTCCGGGCACCGCCAATCGCTCCAAAGAAATAATTTCCCTGTTGATGCCGCGAAACCCAGCCGCAGGTCGGTCACCGAAAAGAAGGACGAACCACTCGACAGCGAGGTAGTGAGCGCTGCGGATTGAGGGGCTCTTCATAATCCTCTCCTCTTCAGTTGCTTCATCCTAGCTACGAAATGCCGCGGGTATGGAAGTTCGCGCAAGCATCATTGTATACTGTGGACCGTTTGTTCCCTGGATCCTTGATTTTCCCCCACTCCGGACCCTTGCGGACCTCGACTGATTAGCCAGCGAAAATCAAGGTCATGTCATGATTTTATCTCGTGATCTTTCATGTGCATGTCAAAAATGCGCGTAAGGGTCCTTTTTTGGATCTGGGCACGAAGGTTGCGGATCATCATCGTTGAAATGAATTGGGTCTTTCCCTGTCCTCTGTTCTTCGGGTGGCAGTTCAATTAGGGGGAAGTCCTGTTCGACTATTAAATTGTCGAAATCAATGTCTGAGAACCAAGCATGCTTTTTCAAGCCTTCGCAACCGCCCGAGCCCGAGCCAAGTCTCCGTTTGGAGTCTTTGAACAGAAGTTGTGCCATGATTTCTTTCGCCTGATCAGAGTGCGGAGGACTCTGAAGTTGCTTGGGCTCTGTTAGACAAATAAGTTCTATCCTCTCGGATCTCGACAAACGGCTGCACTCATAGAAGGGGCAGGCGGATTTTTCGGTCAGTAGCTCATACATCATAATCCCGAGAGCCCACCAGTCCACTGCGCAATCATAAGGCTCGTCTCTGTACATCTCTGGTGAAGTGAATCTCAAAGTTCCACAGGGACCTCGGGGTTCTGAGGACGCCCTCACGGTGACTCCAAAATCGCAGATTTTCAAAAGACCTTTTCCGAAAACCAAAATATTGGCTGGTTTCAAATCGCGATAAATCAGGTTACAGCGATGTATGTACTCAAGACCCAATACAACTTGAGCGAGAAGCACCTTGAGTCTCGTTTCCGGGTGGGGGATGCTCCCTATATTGTAGAGATCACCGTAGGGCGCGTATTCCATGATCATATACGTTTGGGAAGGGGTCGTGCATGTGCTCAATAGCTCCACGAGAAAGATATTGCTGAAAGCATATTGCGTTTTCTTCTCTCGGATGAGTTTGACTCGCCGCTCTCCTTTGGGCTGTTTTTTTATGGCATAGACCTTCCCGTCCTTACGAGCTTTGTACACGGTACCGAACCCGCCCCTGGCGATCAGTTCCTCGGCAGTGAATCCTGTGATGTCTTCTTTCGGACACGAATTGGCGGCGTATCGCACATCGAAATTGGCTTCCGCATTTTCTAGATCACGCCGGTACGCCTCAATAATTTCGGCTCTTATCCCCCCCGGTCTGAATGCTGGCATCGTCGTCTTATCTTATAAAGAGTGATGATTCATTGATTCGACCCCGAGTTGTCTCCATTTAGGGTCTCGGAGGAAAGGAACACATTCTTCAGATAGCCTTGAATCATGCAGTTTTTCCTTGGCGGTAGATCAGAAACTCAGCTGTCCTACTCTCCCCCTTGGGGCCATGAACTCTCAGAGTCATCCCTCGCGATCTCGCGATTCTCCCGCAGGTCTTGCCGGAATTCGTGGAGGGACCAGTTACCCGCCCGGATGATCAACATTTCCTTGTTCATGGCCAGTCTAGCGGGCGGCAAACGCAGATTTCGCATCGTGTTGTGCGTATGACCGCGTATTGTAGTGAAAAAGAACGCGCTCACCTCCCGAGATGGCTCTCGCCTTGACCGAAATTCCTGGAAGACCTTGCTCGGGCGTAGTAGAAATCCCGTATGCTTCCCGAAAACTTCTGGAGTGGACGTTCGAAGTCATGTAAACCCGGCTCATCGTCAGCTTGCACAGATGTCACACACCGATGCGATTCCGTAATTGATTCGTATTTGCGCTCACTCTGTCTGATCAGCTCTTCCTTTCCCGGGCTGCGTCTTGCTGATTCGCGATGCCTACGGTGGCTACCCCTTGAAGCTACCGACACGAGCGTGCTCAGATGCTCTCATTCTCAGGGTGTCCGTATGAGTTCGCTGTCAATCTTTCCAATTCTCGGGTCTCCAATGGAGACGAAGAACGCAGATTATTTGGGTTATCTCGAGGCTGAGACTCGTAGTCGGGGCGGGCCGAGAGGCAGGCTCGTAGCGGCAAAGCCCAAGAAGCAGGCGACCGATTCGGAGAAATGAGATGGTAAGCTGAGAGATTCATGCGCCGCGGAAGGGGGAAGTCGAGTACGGAAACCTTATCTGTATATCGAATGTGGTGTGGTGTAACCCGAGACTTGAATATCCGGCCTAGAATTGTGGATTACGAGTGCAGCTCGCCAGTCGCTATTACGGTGGTGGATTTCGCGCAGGAGCGATCTTGCATCGCAGACGGGGAGCTGCCTCGGGCGTCTCATCCACGAGTTCAACTGAAAGCGGCGTAAATGTTTTCTTATCGATCGATCGTCCGTTCGTTTAGCGGAAGGGGACTTTCTCGCGCGGAAAGGAAAGTCTCCGGCGAGCTCCCTCCAATGATTGAAGTCAACGGAGTCGCATGAACCAGGTTCCCGTCTACTGTTCATGATGATTACACAGATGATATATGATTTTTTTTCATATATTTGCAACGGTCGCCGATTCGCTGCCTCTGTGGAGCGTTAGGCCTCTGGACTCGAATTCATCGCTCCGGGTCTTCTCGAAACGCTTTACGAGTTATGGCCTCAGGATCCGAAGATAGCTGCCCCTGTGGTGAGCTCGTTCCTCTAGATGATGTTCCTTTGCAGCTTCTTAGTCGTACGAGGAGGATCACGTGAGTCCCGATCCCGAATATATGAGAAACACACACAGCCGATCGATGACGCGCACGAAAATTCGGGCTCTTGTGATCCACGAGCCTCGTTCTCTGCAGATCGGGTCCGTGAAGATAAAGCAGCCGGAGAGAAGTTATGGAGAGGACCGGGGCTCAGGAGAAGAGTGACATCAAGAATGAACTCTGTTGAGGGATGATCGAGCAAAGTGACGGAGGCGAGAATACTCTGATATCAAACACGTTCATTGAGCCGGGGTTCGTAAGCAATAAGCATACGGTAGACAGCTTCGCCGCTATCTTCACTCTGCTGAAAGTCATTTCGATCGAGAGATCCAGTCCGACGTTATTTGGGTTGCGGTGTGAAGAAGGGACTCTGAGGCTCAAAATTACGTCTGTGCACGGTCGAAATGCGGCACGGATGAAGCAAGACATCCGGAACTTCCGGATACTAAGGAGCCCCTCCGAGGGAAATCCAGCCCGATGCATATCAGCGGACATCCGGTATGTGTTCTGATTGACAGATTCGCTTGATAAATTGTCTCATCCGAACCAGATTATCGCCGACAACCGATCGGAATCAATTCTTGCCATAGGCGGATCGCAGCTTCCTCACCGACGGTCTCGACATAGGAGTCGAACGAACACAGATAGAGAATTACCTAATCCGTCTACCTTAGTAATGAGTAATGACTCTCCATTCGTCGAGTTTGATTCATGTCTCTTGTTAGTAGAGTATAGCTCTTTGAGGATCTTTCTTCCCTCGAGACTGAGTGCTCGAATCAATCTGGATCCTGATCTCTCAGCGATGAGCTCCTCATTCGGCTGGAACATCGAATGAGGGGACGTGCTGGAATTCCCGTTAGCGTCCGTTTTCGGTCATGGTCCGGCTATTGGGCGTCCGGAATGGCGATTGGCGCAAAAGTGGCTCCTTCTTCATGTGACGCGACGCCCTGTGCTCCCACACCCTGAAGAGCATACGCCGTCGCCGCGGTGGTGGACACCCATGTGAGCTGGGATTCCTAAAAGAGAAGAAACGGGTCAAGAGTCGCAGGGAAAGCTCAGAAAGAGTTCGCAACGCTCAGAACAATCTGGGCCTGGCACGATGCTGGACAACAGCAGACTCCGCATCGCTGTCGGTCTTCGTTTAGGGATAGCAATCTGCTCTCTCCATTAACTTTGTGCACGCTGCTGTACTCAGGTCTCTGCTTCTGGTGAGCACGGGTTGAGCTGCCTCCGGAGCATCGGCCGTCATCCCAGACATAAAGCAACTAAAAAAGTTTTGTCTTGCGCACTTCAAGCGAGGGAGGCTGACATATTGGACCGGCTGACCGGTCTTTCTGGCAGCTCAGTTCTCATCCCCGACCTTCCCCCTGGAGGGCAGGGAAGGCTCTCGTTTGGGATACCACGGTGTGGGGCACACTCGCTGCCTCGTGTCGGCCTCTTGCGGTCCGCTCGGGAGGTCAGGTTGCCAGGCTCGCGGAGAGGAAGAAGCTGGACAAGAACCATGTTCTTGAGAGCCGTTTCATTGTGCAACAAGTTGCAATGGAGACTCTCGGCGTTTTCGGCGAGAGCACAGAGTCGTTCCTCTAGATCTGGGAGGTTGAATCGAGACGGAGTCGGATGTTAAGGGGGCGACCGAGATCCTCCTCCACCGATTGCCAATAGAGGTTGCCCGGACTGGGTCGATCAAACTTTGTGTACCTTGTTCGAAAGTTACCTTGACAGAGTAAAAATAAATAATAATTGTTATAACTTCTTAACTGGTAGATCACGCGCGCTCGAGGTGAGAACATAGACTATCTTTATTTCGGAGAAAAAGGGAATTTGTCTCTCCACTCTCAAGGGAGAGGGCTATGCATCTCTATGGGTCACTCCATGATCCCAACACCTTCCCGACAAAAGAAAGAGAAGATAATAATTATTGGTGGTAACTTGGAAATGGTAATTTCAGTATTTCTTGCGAGATTTGTAGCGGGGGGATTTGGTGTGAGTTACGTCGAGAAAGGAAGTTCGCTTCCTGTTCCGCGTTGGGAGCGCGATTCGGTTTTCTTCTGGTGACTTGAACGCTATCGGCTCTTGATTATCGAAAATAGACCGTTCTAGTGGTGACGGGTCTTCTTCACTATCGCTCGTGGCCCCACTTCTGAAAAGTTCCCTCCTGGCCGAGGTCGATGGGATTTCAACTGAAGCTTCCGGTCCTCGGGTTTTGGTTGTCGCGGGGCGTTCAGCGGTGGTTGTGGCCACATCTTCCACCGATGGGCGAGCCGACCTTACCGCTTCCGCGATCTCGTCTGCCAGGCTCTGCTGCGCGGTATTTGCTTGTTGATGTGCGCTATACCGGGAGGATGTTGGTTGAGATGGTGCTTCCTGGATCGACAAGTTTTCTAGAAGTTGTGAAACGTCGTCAGCCTTCATGTCTGTTTCCTTCATGACCCGTTGGGTCTCTTGTAAGAGTGCTCGAATTTCAGGGTCAGCTTCTCCTACTTGTTCTTCAAGGGCTCGGATCGACTCCATGAGCGCATCTCGTTCGTCTCCGGTCACGGCTTGGCCGTCCATCGCCTTAATCTTCTTGCACAGGGTTTCCATCTTACAAATGATCGGTGTTATCGGCTCTGGGGTCTGGAACATCTGCTTCTCCACTTGGGTCTCCTCCCTCCCTCGAGTTGTCGTTCTCCGTTTGGGTAGGGGCATTTCGAAAGCCAGCATGAGACCGTCGTAGACATCTCCTTGGCGGTGTTGGTTTGGAGTGTGCCGCCGTCTTAATTGGTTCGCGTGTCGCAATGTTGTTCGGTTTTCAACTTCAACATCATACATGACATTGTTGCGCCGCTCCACATTACCGTGGGCCCAATATTGTTTGTTGTGTCGTTCCATCCGGACATACACCGGGTCGTTTGTCTCGAAGCTCTTCTCTCTAACTCCGTGATGTCTATCGAAGTTCTTTTTCATTCGAGCTTCATACCTGGAAGTTTGTATTGAAGCAATGGCATGGTTTTTTCTAGCTTGTGGGAGCAGCATGTCGAGTTCGGTTCGGAACTTTCTCCCCGTGAACATTTCTGCAGGCGTTTTTCCGTCTAAGGCTCGCGATGGAATCGTTCGATATGACCTCAGGAATTTCTGGATGTTTGCGGAGGTGGTGCCTTCTCGTTGCATTTTTGACAAAGCTCTTTTGAATGTATCTACCATCCTTTCTGCTCTCCCGTTGCTTTGCGGGAAGTTGACGGCCGAGAAAGATTTCTTTATGTCGTTTCTACGGCAAAATTCTTTGAAGTCGTGAGCTGTGAACTGGGTTCCGTGATCGGTGACGATTTCTTCAGGAACACCATATTGGGTAAATAAGCTTTCAAATGCCTCGATCGTATTTGCTGTGGTGATTTTCTTCATTGGGATGATTTCCGGCCAATTGGAGAACGAGTCAACGATGATGAGATAATGCACGTTTTTCATTGGCCCGGCAAAGTCCGCGTGGATTCGCTTCCAGGGTCCCTCTGGCTTTTCCCATGGCGATAATGGGATCTTTACCGGGTTCTTACTGGCCAGCTGACAGTCATCGCAGGATCTGA